ACTTCCTTTTACATGAACTTATAAATTAATTATATGGAATCCTAATTTAGCCCTCATTAAGGAAATGCCAGTGAAGAACGTGAAACTTCAAAGAGCTAAGCATCAGACTAGAGAGTGTAAACTACTTCTGTTTTGCTAAAATAAAGTTTTAGTTGTGTGCAATTTGCCATTGGAAAAGAAAATTTAGATGAAATTAGACTATTTTATGAAACCCTGAGAAATCTCACGGTAGGAAGTAAGCCAGGGGAGAGTAATTTGAGCTACATTAAGGCTGTCTACTCTCCGGAAAAAAAAGTTTCAAGAATCGTTCCAAAAATACTTTTGAGTAAAGCAAATAAATATGAACCATCTGTACTTATTCAAAGATCTCTTCAATTTCTATCTCTAAGAAAAAAAGTAGATGACCTATGGGGACCAGGCTACAGCTACCATCAGAAGAGTACTCTGTTATTGTATCATGAGGACAGATGATATTCCCTTAGATTTTTACTTAAAAGACCTGAACTTTGACTAAAGATTTCCTGAGTTGCTGAAATTTTCCTCTTTCACTGTTTTACACATCTTTAAAAAATGCTTATAACCTATTATTTACTTTCCATAGCCTATATATTTATTTGTTTCTTTTTCAGGTTCAACTGTATTGGCAGCCTCTTTTATTGTTTTTATGTCAAATAAATTATGCTTAATGTCACTCAAATCTTTCAATCAGTGTGAGATATTCATATAATATTTTGATTTTGCAGAATTGTAGGCTTCTTGGACAACTGGCCTTTATTGGAGCGATGGTTTTCAGAGCCAGAAAATATTTTGATAAAAATCAATGCTGAAACAGACAAAGAGTCTTTACGCCAAACAGTAAAAGAAATTTTTGTGACTGAAATAGTGAAAAAAAAGAATAAAGGTAATGTGACTAAATGTGTGGTTTTAATGAGTTTAGAAAGAAAGAAAAGTGTTATTTCAAGATTCTCACTTATATTTGAATTATACTGTCTATAAGTGCATTCTACCTCTGACTTTAGCTTTCTGCTGCTTCTGTTTCTGAATAAAAGATATTTGTCTTCTTATAATTTAATTTAATTTAATTTAACCAAAGAGAGAGTATCTCACTGAAA